TGCTATCCAACTGTGCTCCTCAAGCAACTGAAGTCCACTAGAAAATGTGGCACCCAAGCGCAACTGCCAACGACGCAATCGAGAATTCAGAGTCGCCTGCAGAACCGCTGGAGTGCAGGACCCGGTCGGCCCAACAATCATAGTACGAAACACATGATTGCGGCGGATCGAGGTTCCGCCGAGATCCTCGAGGAAGGGAGAGGGTGGGGTGATGATGCTATGTAAGGGAGATAGCGAAGGAACGATACGGCAACAGAAAATAAAGAGAGGGAGAGGAAATGATACGACGGCCATGCATCAATGAAGGCCAGTGTAAAAATCAAAAAAAAAACTGCTGTGGATCGGTCCCGTCCTGCTTAAATATCAGCCGACCCTGTCGGCGTGTGGAAAACCCTGTTGTCGTCGTCGTCGCCATTGCCGCCGCCGCTCCCTTCCGTTCCCCCGGCCCTCTTCAACCTCCAACCACAAAGAACTTGAGGCGCGTCGCAGTTAAGTCGAAGGGAAGCGCTCTCCCTGCGATCCCTTGCCCGCCGGAGTAGGGCGGGGGGGATGGGTGGGGGGGGGTGGGGGGGAAAGGGCCCGGGTCAGAATGCCCCCCCTGGGGTCCCTGGAAGTCCGGGGGTGGTGACCCTGGTCCCAATTGTCTGACAGACACTGACGGCTCAGTGCTGCAGCCCGTCGGGAAAGCTGCCAGGGAAGCCACTGGGAAAGCCTTCTGGCATTCCAGGAACGCCTCTGGTGGTGACGCCGCCGCCGCCTCCGCCCACATACCACGCGGGGTGGCCCAGCTGCTGGTCGCACTGGTCCGGGCAACAACTTGGCAGTTGTAGCCGTTAATCGTCAGCGGAGGCCTGGTGCATTTCTGGTCTCCGTGGGTACTCGGGGTGGCGGGACTCGTGGTGCCGCCGCCGCCGCCTCCGCCCACATAGTATTCGGGGCGGCCACTCTGGTCGCGCTGGTCCAGGCAGCAGTGCCGGCAGCTGTAGCCGTTGATCGTCGGCGGAAGGCTGGTGCACTCCTGGTCTCTGGTGGTACTCGGGGTAGCGGAATTTGTGGTGCCGCCGCCGCCTCCGCCCACATAGCACTCGGGGTGGCCCTGTGGGCAGCACTGGTCCGGGCAGCAGTGCTGGCAGTTGTAGCCGTTGATCGTCAGCGGAGGCTTGGTGCAAGTCTGGCCAGATGTGTGCTGCAGAATCGTTTAATGCGTGCGCTGAAGGAGAGTCTGCTCGTCATCTTTGGCATCAAAATTGTCGTTGCCCCAGCAATTCTGTCCGCGCGAGGGCCAGCGCAGTCAGCCAGGTGCCTGTCAGGAACCCTGCCATCGCCCGCGTCGCTGCTGCAAGCGATGTTCTCTCAGGAAGCGCTTGGAAGCAGAGCCGCGCAAAAGTGGACAGCAAAAACTGAGCCAACCTGGTTACATAATCCTGGTTTGAAATAGCTGCATGGTGAAGATCGTTGAACCGCGATCAACGAATACGCGTTCTGGAACCGAGGCTTGTTAATCCGACGCGCTGGTTTCTCGGCTCCCCCCTCCCGCTTGAACAAGACCAACACCCGTGTTGGGCTTTGCCTCGGGTGTCGTTGTCTATGTGTTTCTCGAGTGCTGGGTAGTCCGAATTCCCCCACTTCTGGGTCCCCTGGCCGCCAGAATGCCATAGAATGCTGCGCTAGGCGATGCAATGCTAGCGACGAAGCTGACGTCGTGAGATTTGTAGCGTACGTGCGCGCGATCTGCTTCTGAGCGTTGGACAAGCTAGCGCTGCATAATCTAGCTCCGAACCAAGTGAGTGATGCCATATGAAACGCGTCACCTCGGGGACATTGGCTGCGTCACGACACAGCAACACATGATTGACGAACGACGCTGCACAGACGCGGTCGAAAGCGCCCTCCAAACAATATGCTGTGTATCTTTCTGCGCCATGCAGGATTAAACTATGCTGCTGTGCCATGAAGTGCAATGAGTTAGCGGTCTACACTGTGCTTTACGTTACGCTGATCTGCATTGCATTGCATTGTCTTGCATTGTCCCTCTGCGCATTGCATTGCATATGCATACCGTCTGCAGACAATATATCCCCAATTGGGATCCCGCAGCGTTCGTGTGAATGGATGACCCGCCGTCAAACAATATAGAAATAGGCTGCTGGCCCACGGTCCTTGAATCTTAAAAGCCCAATGCAATGACCCGCGAACCAATGGACGGAGGATCTCACGGAAACAATACCCACGGATCGCGACGCGGCCACAACATCCTCCGCACGAGGCCAGGCTCGAAGCTCAAGCACAAGGATTCAAACACGAGGCCCAAAGGCCTCAAGGCCTCGAGCACAAAGGCTCACGGCACAATGGCTCAAGCACCAGGGCTTCGGGCAGCGGGTCTCAAGCACAGGGCGCACAGGGGCTCGAGGCCCAAGCACAGGTGCTCATGCACAAGCCACACGGGCCTCCACGCCATGCCATGATGGGCACGAGCGGGCTCCCCGGTGGGGCACGCGCGCGCTGGCCTGGAGGACCTGCCTCATCTGGGCGACGAAAACGAGCGGGTCTTAATCGAGATGGCCCAGCGACCTCACGCGGTCGCTTACGCGGGCAACTTGCGCCAATGTTGGCGCAGACGGCCCTCTTCTTTTGCGTCGCTCATCTGGAGATCACTCATCTGGAAAAGCGGGCGCGGTGCGGCCGACATCCCCGCGGGGACCCTAGGGGGCTCGACTCTTTGGTCCCCGGTCGCTTCCCCGTGGCCCCCGAGAATTCCTCCCCACATTCCTCCTCCTCCTCCTCCTCCTCCTCCTCCTCCTCCTCCTCCTCCTCCTCCTCCTCTTTCTCCTGCTACTGCTCCTCCCCTCCTCCTCCTCCTCATCCTCCTCCTCCTCGTCATCGTCATCCTCATCGTCCTCGTCATCGTCATCGTCGTCATCATCATCATCATCATCATCATCATCATCATCATCATCATCATCATCATCATCATCATCATCATCATCAGCATCATCATCATCATCCTCATCCTCATCCTCATCCTCATCCTCATCCTCATCCTCATCAGCATCATCATCATCATCATCATCACCACCACCACCATCATCATCATCATCATCATCATCATCATCATCATCATCAGCAGCAGCAGCAGCAGCAGCAGCATCATCATCATCATCATCATCATCATCATCATCGTCATCATCGTCCTCATCATCATCACCATCATAATCCGCATCAACATCCTCAATATCATCATCCTCATCCTCATCCCCCTCCTCATCCCCCTCCTCATCCCCCTCCTCCGCATCATCATCATCATCATCATCATCATCATCATCATCATCATCATCATCATCATCATCATAAGCATCATCACCACCAACATCATCACCGTCATCACACTTACGATCACCATCACCATCATCATACGTCATCATTAGCATCAGCATTACCAGCATAATCATCATCAACATCATCAGTATCATCATGAGCATCAGCATCATCAACGGAATAGGCATCGCCATCGTCATCATCACCACCACCACCACCACCATCATCATCCTCATCATCATCGGCAACATATCTTCCTCCTCATCCTCTCATCCTCGGTGTCTCGGTGATGTGGACGAGTTCGTGTCTGTTCCTCATCCTTCCTTGTTGCACGCCGTGTGCTGCAACCCGATCCCTGACACCGATCGACGACGGGGAAACTGCGCGAGGCCAACGTGAGCGACGAGGCTACTGCATTATGGTCTGCAGCGCAGCATCAGAGATCGGGTATCGGTACTCAGTACAAGTCACCTTCATGCATACTACGCGGCGCAGGATGTGCGAAGGGACAAAGAGCAGTGAGCAAGCCCGTGGGACACATGATAGAAGATCGGCTGGCGTCGGCAGGGAGGTCACCTCAGACCACGACCATCGTCCTCCTCATCCTCCTGCGGGCAAGATCTATATCCATATCAAGTGCGTCTTGGGTGTTCTTGGAAAGGGGCGCCAGAAAGCCGCGGCGGACTGGGTATGGATCAAAGTCAAGGCTCTAGGGGGCCAGCTCGTTCTCCAGATCCAGGTGCACCGGGCTTCTGGAGAGAGCTACAGACTCCAAGCTGCAGTGGACATGGACACAAGACTGGCCCGCGCCTCCTCCTCCTCCTCATCCTCCTCGCCTCCTGCTCCTCCTCTTCCTCCTCCTCCTCCTCCTCCTCCTCCTCCTCCTCCTCCGCCTCCTCCTCCTGCTCCTCCTGCTCCTCCTCCTGCTCATCCTTCTCCTCCTCCTCCTCCTTCTCCTCCTCCTCCTGCTCATGGCGCCTACCAAGGGAGGCGCACTGAGTTCGAAGTCACTCTACATGTGAGCCAGGGCTCGCCAGCCCTGACCTGCGGAAGAATATCCCTGCATTATCCGTCCTCCTCCTCCTCCTGCTGCTGCTGTTGCTGCTCCTCTTCCTTCGCCACCCCGTCGGAGGATGAGGAGCAGCACCAGGAGCGGCTCGCGGAGGGGAGCAGGAGCGGCGCCCGCGACCGCGCGCGCGTCCACCTCGGCACTCCTCGTCCCCCCCCTCCTGCTCCTCCTGCTCCTCTGCTCTTCGTCGTCCTCCTCCTCCTCCTCCTCCTCCTCCTCCCCTTTTTCATCCTCCTCCCCCTCCTCCTCCTCCTGTTCCTGCTCCTTCTCGTCTCATTCCGCAGGAGGAGGAGGAGGAGGAAAAGGAGGAGGAGGAGCAGCAGGGCCCCCCCCACCCACCGCTGCCTCATGTCCTCTGCTCCCCGCCCTGCGGCCCCCCCCGAGCGCCTCTCCGCTTTGCCCCCCCCCCCTATCGGGGGTTGCCGGGTTGCCTGGGGTGCCCCTGGCCCAAGGTGCGCCCAACGTTTCGATCCATCTTGGAGCTCCCTGGCTGTGGCCCTCTGGGCCTCGCGAAGGGTGCTCTGGAGGCAGCGGGGGCCTCCATGGGAATCCCGAAAGCACGTTGGGCGAGGGGCACTTCTAGCAACAGCCGCCGCCCCACCCCCCGCAGTGGCGCCTCCGCTGTACGGCCCACCCTTTCCTCCTTTCGGGGGGTGGACCGTCTGCGGCGGCGGGTTCACCATCGGCGGCCTCCGGGGGGGCAGAGGTAACCGTCCCTCACCCTCAGATGGAGAGAGAGGAATGAGGGTGCGAGGGAGCGGATGTACATGCATGCATACATACATGCATACACACATCCATGCATGCATACATACATGCATACATGCATACACACATACATACATACATACATACATACATACATACATACATACATACATACATACACACACATACATACATACATACATACATACATACATACATACATACATACACACATACATACACACACACATACATACATACATACATACATACATACATACATACATACATACATACATACATGCATGCATGCATGCATGCATGCATGCATACATACATACATACCTGTATACATGTATATACACACATACGTGCACACATGCATCCATGTGCACACATGCATGCATGCATGTATACATACAAACATACAGACATACAGACATAGAAACGTACGTACATACATACCCACACACACATACATGCATACATACATGCATACATGCATACCTACATACACATACATACATACATACATACATGCATGCACGCATGCATACATACATACATACATACATACATACATGCATCCATACATACATACATACGTATGCACATACATACATACATACATACATACATACATACATACATACATACACATACACACATGCATACATACATACGTACATGCATGCATGCACGCATGCATACATACATACACATATGCGCATGCATACATACACACATAAACATACACACATACATACATACATACATACATACATGCATGACTGCATGCATGCATGCATCCATACATCATACATACATGCATATACACATACATACATACATACATACATGCATGCATGCATGCATGCATGCATGCATGCATACATACTACATACATACATACATACATACATACATACATACATACATACATACATACATACATACATACATACATACATGCATACATACAAACATGCATATATACATACACATACCTACATACATACACACATACATCCATACACACATAAAATATGCATGCGTACATACATACCAAACCATACCATACCACACCACACCACTCCGGACCACACCACACCACACCTCACCATACATACGTACTCACATACACTCATACGTGTATGCATGCATGCATGCATACACACACATATATATATACATACATTCACTTGTTCACCAGCTCGAGAATGTCGCCACGTGGCTGATAAAAAACACATACATACACATATACCTGTATGCATTATATGCATTTACAAATACATATATATGTATATACACACCGACTTGCATACAGACAAGACGCTGATTTACAAGTTGACGCAACGCCTCGCGCACTCGACGGTCCGAGTGCTCCACATGTTCAAATCGAGGCTCGTCGAAGATACGACGAAGCACCGTCATGTATGCACTATTCTGTCGATTCGAACGCCGAGCCGACGGCACGAGCGCATGCATTCCGAACAGAAGCTTCGATGTAAGCAAACACTGCGTAAGGTATAGGTTCTGCGCGCGTGCAACATGCGATGAGTCAAAGACTGTGTACGACAACGTTTCGTACGCAGCAAGAGTCTTGGTTGCTTTTGCATTTGCGTCAGCTATGGCACACGCCCGGAGGAAGGTGGCTGCACCAAGATGCTTATAAGAAGTCACAACGCGGATGCGTACATCTCTCCCCGGAACCGGGATATGCAACTGCCCACTCGCATCGCGACGGGCCTCGCGACAAGTAGGGCCGCGATACTCCAAAAGGGCCTCAGAATTTCTGGGGAAGGCGTTCACCTGCAAATGCAAATCTTCAAACGTAGATAAACACATCGAGAATCTCATCGATGATTTGATCAAGTTGCTGAAGGGTCGAGGCCACTATCGCGAGGGCATAATCGTCAATCAAAGCCGCATCCAAAACAGACTCGGATGTCACATCCCCTGGGGAAGGGGCCTAAGACGGATCAGCAGGGGAGGGCAACCGAAGAGCACCCCCCTCTCTTGGAGCTGTCTGGGAATCACATCCAAAGCTAATTAAGCCGTAGACGCCATTGAAAGTTAATGCGCCTAACTTGCATCCCTGGTGCCCCCCAGTGCGACTTGCGACGCGCGTGGGTAGACAGCAAGCACCTTCATGCAAGGCTCGCATCACGCTCGCGACAGCTTCGTCCACCCCCTTCTGCTGTAAAAGGTGGCCGTGTTGATCGAGATACAAGAGCACCCAGTCGGCAGCAGACTCGGAGACTCCAAGCGACAGAACGCGGGCTCGATGCTCGGACTGCGGCATGGATCCCCATCCGCACATCAGTTGCTGCACTAATCTATCAAATGCTTTGGGTGAAATCTACGTACAGCGCACACAGGAACAGACCAGCGCAAATAGCGTAACCAATGACCGACTGTAGCACGTGAGACGCCACATCGGTGAAGCGGCCCGGGATGGCACCGTACTGCGAGGACGGTTGGTGCGCAACGTAGGCCGGCGTCATAGCCTGCTGCAGCGTTCCGGCGAGACCTTTACTAGCATGATAGACCACGAGAATTTTACGAAAATCTTCACTGTCGAGCGGGTCCCCTTTCAATATAAAAACTTTGTGGGAACGCCCGCCCCCAACTGAGTCGGCCAGGCCAAACGCCCGCGGCCTTCGCGCGCTCGCTGACGGCAGAACACTTGCAGGCTAAAGCTGGGCCCCCGGCCTGAAGCAGCTCCGCTAAATCCCGTCATCGCCGACGCTTTTATTGCGGCAAAGGGCGCGGTAGGCACAGCGAGTGACCTCGGGGCCGACATCCAAACAAGATGATCTTGGAGGGGAAGGAGGATGAAGAGAAAAAAAAGGGGGAGGAAGAGGATGATGATGGTGATAATGACGATGATGAGGAGCCGAAAGACAGTTCGGACTGTTAATTTTTGCGGGGCCCCCCCTTGGACGCCGGGTGCTGGCATGGGCTGGCGAAAGGAAGCTTTGTCCGCGACGTCGCCCGTGAACACTTGGTGGACGTGATCCCGCCGCGCATGTTTGACTTGCTCCGTTGTGGACGTCGGTGCGCCTAAGGAATCACGCAAACACTGATTTGGCCACGTGGCGCGTGCTCCCAAGGCTCGCAACACCGCGAATGCCTTGCGAGCGTCGTGCGCCTCGATCGCACGAGAAACACTCGCAGCAAGATAATCCAGACAGGCACGCTGGTCTTGGGCTGAAATGGGGTGCGCGCGTTCCAGCAAGCAGAAAAAATGAGCTGCACTGCAGGCCTCTTGTTGGAATCTTCGGCGGACTTCAGCCCGCAGCCCAAGAGAAATAGAAACTCCCATGCTAACCCTACGGCTGCAACGCGCCTCGCAACAGGAGTGCACAAGGAAAGTAAGGAAGCAATGCTGTCGGCGCCCCGTCGCATCAAACCTGGCGCGCCTCGGGGCTACGTGCTGGATGATCTGCCGCACTCGCTAGGGTGGCCATGCCTTTTGGGGCTGTTTTTCGGGGCGTCCGAAACTCACTGGCGCAGTACGCTGGGTCCACATAGTCACCAGCTGTATCTATGTGGTCTTCCATATGGTTGGGGGGAGGAGCATGAAGGAACAACCACATGGGCCGCTAGAAAAAAAAACTTGCAACACCAAATCAGGACTTCATATTGACCGTATTAAAACTGAGCACGGAGCTTACAGCATGCTGCGCGCACGATGGGACAGCGCTCACACCTAACACCACGGCATGGTGATCTCCCTTCGACTCGAGCGCTAATGAGGCGTACGGCCAACATCGCAGCTAGCGGCGCGTGCAAACATCGATTCGGGCACGAGCACATAATCTATGCGAGAGGTGGTGGCATGCCTGGACACTCACGTTTAGCCACCATCCCCGCACGTATGATTCATCCGCAAATAAAGCTGCTCCACAAGCGTGCGCAGAAAACTACCATTTGAGTGCTCACGCTCTGGCTGGCTAGGGCTGACCGAACGAGAAGGCACAGAACCGACGGGACTGTTCGCGTCGATCAGCGAGACCCACTGGACAGGATGAGACAAAAGACATTGCGATTGCACCCGCGCGAGCTCCGCCAACCACTGGAGCCGAATGGTCTCCTTGGTCTGCGAGCGCGGGGTGAGCGCCACCAAGGAACAAACGAGTTCAAGCTGAGCAATGCGGATGACGTCGTTAAGGACGCGAGGACATACGGCACTCCAAAAACAGACGCACGCACGATTGTGCACCCAACACTGCTCGCCAAGCGACCCACCTGGCTCAGCAGCGGAAGCGAGCACGGTGCGATACTGGCCGTCGGTCGCCTCCGAACTCGGGGACCTGCCTTCCTGAATCCCAACGACGTCAATGGACCAATCATTGAACTGCTGATCAAGAAGGGTGATCTTGCTGCGCATGCACACCCCGCTGACATCAGCATAGGAATGTGCAAGCTGATGCGGGCGGGGTGTCATGACATTCACAATCGCGCACGTGAAAGCAACAGGCGTTGGATCCATGTGCCGCTTCATGGTGGCATCGCTTGCTGAGTGGTGGTTCCGAATGCGCTGGGCCGAAGGCTCCGTCACATGTCGCTAATTTATTCGGCGGTCCCTCTGAACAGCTGGGGAGTCCTGGGACGCGCGTGTGGACCAGTCGGTGATCTACCTCTTCGGCGTCTGCTTGCCGTTGTGCTGCACAGGTAGTGGCGTCGGCGCCTGATTGCCAGGCAGACGACGCGCCGTAGCGCGGACAGCGTGGGCGAGTGCGGCCTTGAACTTGGCCTGGATGGCCTCCGACTGCACCTTGGCCTCGGACAGCGCCTTGGGAGACACGCTGCCAAGTTCGGACAATTCGCGCATCGCCGCCTCCATCTCGCGAGCTTGTCGGTCGTCGATTGGGCAGGCAGGCCCAGGGTCGTCGGAGCTACCGCCGCGACACCTGCTTCTCCAGCTCCGCGGCGTCCAGCCGCAGCTGGGCGACTTCGTCGGCAGCCGCCTGCAC